AACATACCTATGAACATTGTTTCATTTCCTAGAGCCTCCTAAACGTTATACACTGGACCTTTAAGAACATAAATGATTATCGTAAGTTATCTCACCAACCAAACAGTCAGTCTGATCATGCTCCCTTGAGATCATCTTGTCAAAGATTCTCTGCTGTTTACCCCTGTTATTATCCACACTGATATGTGTCTGTGCATTCTCATATACCCATGTCAGGCATGTTTAACAGAGCAAACTCTGATATTGACGTGCTCTTTGCCTCCAAGGTTCCTTATTGACTGAACTCTTCTATTCCTGATTCAGCACTGGGTTATTAGACTTAGTGTGACTAAGCTCCAAATCTCATCAATACATTTCTTCTATATTTCACTCTGCACTACGCAGTCATTAAACTGTTGATTTGACTTAAAATCTAACAGAATTTGTATAACAGGATTGTTGATTTATCCAAATACAGCCTAGAAGGAAAGAGGAATTCCTTACCGAGGTATCTGAGCAGTCCTCAGACAGTGATGTGAACTGTGCTATGAATAGCAACTTTTTTACTGCAGTGTTTTTTAATGATCATTTTAAAATATGAAAGATTGTAATTGGATCTACAATATATGCCATAGTATTACAGTTGGAGAGTTTGTGATCATTCTGTACGTAAATGCATTTCTTATGCATTTATTTAAATTTTTACACTGTAGAACTGAATTTTTGCTCACTTTAAAGCGTTCTGTTTTCTTTCATTTGTTATTATGTTAATGACTGAATAACCACTTACACTTTTTTTGGGTAAAATAACACGAAAAAGAATATTGTATTTTTAATAGTTTTCTTTTAGTATAATTATTTACTACACTTATAGATTCCACAGCTGATGATGGTTGGGGCAGGACGATGATGATGACAATGGAGATTGATGGATGATTTTATAGATGATGGGGGGGTGATGATAGACAGCAAAAGTATGTTATTTTTCCTTATCTTTGGCAGCTGCCTTGGGCTTAAAATCAGATAATACGCAATGAGGTGTCCAACAAATAAGTTTAATAAACACATTTAATTAACTGCAGTGCGTCCCATTGTTTTATTTTATTTGTTTACTTATGTACCTGCTGTTCTTGAATTATACAACTAGACACGCCCTAAAGAGTAAGAGACTGCTCAGCAAGAGTGCAAGAAATTATAAGGACCACTGACTACGGTGAATAATTTCCAGTTTCAATAAAAACTAATTAGAAAAGATAAAAATACATATTTCATTAAGCTCCCTGTTTTGCTCATATGCCCAAGCAAAGCATATGGTCATATTCAAAGTTAAATTGTCACAATAAGGTTGGATTTAGACCCAGAAGGTTGCCAGAATATTAAATGTGATGAAAGTAATTATTTGAAGGTGTTAAGAATCTTTTCTTGTTAGACTTGGATAATAATAGTTATGTAATTAATGTCTGTCATTAGCGTTTTACACAAATAGAGTTAAGTGGTTATCAGCCATTACTCCCCCCCCCAAAAAAGCACATGACTATGTGAAAATGACAGAAAACAAACAAAAATACAAAAATATGTTATGGTTGATACAGAGAAAAAAGATGGAGTAATTGAATATGATTCAGCCGTGTATACTAGCATGCCCTATGGGACCTGTAATTTATGACTGCCAAATAGTAGTAGAACTTTCTGTAATTTCTGTACAGAAACAACAAACCTTTCCCCCCCCAGTTTGGAAATAAAAAAAAAAGATTTAAAAAGCTTCCAAATAAAAACTGTGAATTTACTGTACACATGAAAATCAATACAAAAAGGACAGGCATAACAATCAAATGCATTTACAAGTTCGACCAGTGTTCTCAGTCACACCTTCTGAGCCAGAGCCTCACAGCTGCGGTGACCTTTTAAGCCGTTTATGCCTGTGCATAGATATTGGCATTAACATCCTCCTGCCTAAATGAAAAGTGCTTGCTAAGCCAACAACTGTGCTCAGTGAACTGTGCACCTTAGAGGTGAATTATATCATGCTGGATTACCCTTACCTTAATTTATCGGTGCCAGCTTTGTATCTGGAGACTCTGGCCATCAACAAGGGCAGGGAGACGGCATCCAGCCAGCGCTTCTCATACTTTGGTTCATTAGCTGAGGGCGAAGGGGGTGATGGAGCCTGCGTGGAATACATGAACAATGTGATGAGTTTCCTGCTCCCCTCGCCAAGTCCTTTTGATCATTGAGGATGTAGTCTGGATGCAACATTTGTACCATTAACATGAACAAAGAATTCCTGTCTTAACCCGGGCTAATCAGCTGTACAGTATATAAAGATATAAAGTCCTGACCTGCAACTGGATACACTCCGAAGCTTCCACTGTTTTTCAGTGCAGGCTTGTCTCCTCTGAGTTTATAGAATTGCTTTCCAAAATGCATTAAAAACAGCAGCATTTGTAATTTTTTACCAGGTGCCTAATTATTACAGTTGTACAGTAATCAGGTATTCTCACATTTTTATTTTCTTATGCACTAGGGCCAGTTTCTTTGGTGTGTTGCATAACAAAGTCCATCATTTGGTAATTAAGCAGACAGCAGAGCAGTGTTCTTCAGACATGACTCAGCTTTGCATTAAATTGAACAAATCTTTGCTGTAGATATTTAAAATGTAAAATTTCCCTCACTGTTTTGTCACTTCAGTAAGTGGCTTCAATGAAGAAACGGATTTGTGGCTACAACAAACAGGTAAATACAGCGCATTGCTTTCTCTGCTGAAATAATTATTTGATTAATCAATGAGTTGGCTGAAAATAAATCAGCAAACAGTTTTGATCAATGTTCATTTGGTATTTTTGCTTTGTAAATGACAAAAACATTTTTGCTCTACCACCTTGCATCACGAGGCGCACTATACACACTTTGTTTTTACTGTGTGTAAGTGTAATAACTGTATTTTAAGCTGTGTAGACACATACGCAAGTAAAAAATAGTAGGCTACATTTCAACACTCACACAGATCCAGAGAAAATGGACCCAAAGTGGATAAAAACACACCAACAGAAAATGCCTCTTCACATTCATTAATGACAGAGTGAAGCTAGTTTTGATTCTATCTCAACTACAAGTGTTGTGGTGTTATGAAGTCATGTTAGTGGAAAAATACACTCACTGCTTAAATTGATGGATTACATTCATCTTGGCAGCAGTTTGTCTCTGTGAGCTCTTTTTAATGGATTTTTGAAAACAGGGAGCCTGCAGTATGAGCATCTGACTGTGGCAAATACGCAGGTGCGTTTAGGCTTTTCATAGGCAGTAATGAGCATTAGAAAAAAGCTGAAATTGCAGCTAAAGATGCCTGGCTTAAAGCAATAATAAAAGGTGTTAATGTGGCATGGAAACAGCTTTGTTTTTGAAAGCTGTGCACTGGGTTATGAGTACTTTCCTGATAGTGGCAATACATTTGGAGGCAAGCAGGACTTCAAATTACTTTAGAATGCACTTTACGGCAATTCACTATCAGTATAATGGTCAACACTTTCTTTCCCCACTAGCAGCCCAGAATAGAAGTGGAAAAAGTGTCTAATAGGCTACTCTGTGCTTGTAAACACTGTCTCACATTCAAACTCTTTTGTGCTAAAGATTTCTTCTTGACAATGGCTTGAAGGCTTTATATAACTGAAATAAAATTGATAAAATGATGGATGATTGCTGCATAACAGTGTGTATATCCTTTAAGAAGAATAAAGGAAAGGAGAGAAGAATGTATTTGTATGGCAACTTTCAACAACAAGGCTATTCAAAGAGCTTTACAAAATACATAAAAAGCATTTTAAGGTTGTAGCTGGTTGAGATATAATTTGTATGTAAAATCTTAAAGGCCCTGCACACATAGTCCACCCACAGGTGTTTTCACTTACGTTGCCTAAATAGTACTGGACTCCTAAGGTCTCACTCGCTCTTCTGCTCAATTTGGTGTACCTAAGGTGAGACAACTTACCCAGTTATTATTAGTGGATATAGTTTGATAAATTCACATAAATCTGGGAAAACAGTATTTCAACCCAACTAACACCTGACTAGAGGTCTAATAAGCCAGAGTGATTAAAAAAAAAATTGTGGGTGTGCAGAGCCTTTAGTTTGTATGGTAACTAGTAACTATAACTGTTGAATAAATGTAGCAGAGTAAAAAGTACAATAGTTCCCTCTAAAATGTAGTGGAGAAGTATCAAGTTGCATAAAATGGAAATAGTGAAGTACAACAGTACAAACATTTCAGTTACGTACAGCACTTCAGTCAATGTACTTTGTTACTTCTGATCACTGAAAAACTGAATGTTGCTTGTGCAAGTTTAGTTTGGATTTTGTGACAGTAAGCATACCTGGTGCAAATGATCTAAGAGGTCTTAACAGTTCATAATGAAGCAGCAGACCTGTATTTTGGCACTATTTTAACACTTACTTTCACATTTTCATCTATGGATGAAAATCTATGGATTCCAAATCCAAATAAGAAAAATCTCACGAATAAATAACTCATTGGAGAATTTAATATTGCTTGGACAGATTTGTTCGCTTTTACCACCAACACACGCTGGCTTACCAGTATGCTTGATCTGCAGTGAGAAATTAGCATTATAAGGCTCAAATATGTCTTGCGGCTCCAGGCAGATTGTTATTTTTATTTTTTTTAAATGGCTCTTTTGATAGTAAAGGTTACTGACCCCTGGCTTAAACCAACAGTAGGATTTAAAAAAAAAAAAATCAATTCTCACTGGTCTTACGGATGTGTCTTGGATTTGACTGGTCTTAAATGTGTGGCCCATTAAAGGTGCTGGGGCTCGTCCCCTCCTGCAATTACAACTGTGAAATACATATTTTAATGAAAAATATTATTTAATTTTTTCTTGTGTTTCTTACAGAAACATACTTTTACTCTGTTATGCCAAATGCTGATGTCCTGCCCATCCAGTTGCAGAAAAAAAAAGACACTGACAGCACAATGCAGAGATGGCCTGACCTGGGACTTACCAGCTAAAAGCCACTGAAGTGTGCCCAATTATTATGGCCTATGTGAAGGAGCAATTTGGTTCAAAGGAAGTCAAAGTGCCACGTTGTTGTGCAGAGATTTCCATCAGACTCAAAAAGTACTTTTCACACGCAGCTCTCACTGCACAGCTGATGCACACCTAATGATAAACAAGGTGAAACTGAGCCCTCTCTTCTCTATGATAGAGAGGAGCTCAGTGTCTGCAGTGATGCTGTTGCCCTACTCAACGTCATAGTGGAGAACAACCTCCAGCTAACCCTCTCAGAGAAAGTCAAACTCCTCCACATTCAGATCAAACCCCATGAGAACATTGGAGGCTGAGAGTTGTTTCTCTATCTTGAAAAGGATAAAAACATTATTCTGAAACTTTATGTTCAACAAATGTCTTAATGTGCTTGCCACGCTATCAATTGAAAAGAGACTAGTAAAAGACATTCAGAGTTTTATCGCCAAGGTCATAGCCAGATTTGCATCCTCAAAACCATCGGGCCAGTTCAGCTGTTGTGAGCTGAAGTGAGTATGTAAAAGAAATATGGCTGATAATGCCCTGTCGCTAAACTAGCATCTTTATCGGGATATTCAAGATGTATGTAATTGTTTTATGTGATAACAATGCACTGCAATGTGTTTTAACTGACTAGTATGTGTCCTATAAAATTATGTATCATTTCATATGTGTGACGCTGCATTTAAATTTGTTTCATTCTATTGAATGACGTATTGTTGTTGTATTGATGTATGTTTTAGACTGCTACACTATACAGGGTACAGCTCACAACCAAAATACACAGAGTTACCTATAGGCCCGTTGCTGCATCTAGTGGAAAAGTCCCGCCATGTCACTGGTGAGGACTAGCAGCAGCGTACTGAATCAGCTGCAGTTGTCTGATTGACTTTTTATAGAGACCTGTAAGCATTACAGTAGTCAAGAGTACTAAAGATAAATACAAAAATAAAGATATGTTTTTCTACATCCAGCTCCTTTAATTCTTCATACATACTGGATCATAGTAGGGAGATTGGAGATTTAAGCAGGGGCCAGTCAATTCAATCAGGATTTTGAAACAAGCCTTCACTTTTATTGATAGTCAATGCAAAGACATCTGGAGGACATCAGACTAGATTCTGGCAGCTTTGGCTGTTACAAGAACATATTTTTGTGTGTCACTGGCATAGCAATGATAACTTGTGTAGTATTTTTTTTGAAGATTTGGCCAACAAAAATGGTCCAAGTATTCCCATGTGTACTGTATTCTGTATATTATGTTACTCAGATATGAGCAGAAACAGGCATACATCAGCCCCTCGAGAGCAATAAGGTTCTCAAGACGTTCAAGGAGGCTGTCATTGTTCACAGTGTCAAAGGCAACACTCAAATCTAGTGATAGCAGGACAGATATAAGAACAGAATCCATGGCAGTAAACTTAAAATTTGCTATCCTGGTTAGTGCAGTTGCAGTAGCTTAGATAGAGGGGCTATGACTTGGATAGCCACCACCTTTTCCAACAGTTCTGACATGAAGGCGAGATTTGAAATATGTCTGTAATTGCTTAGAGTTTGAGGATCAAGGTTAGGTCTTTTCAGTAAAGGAATAATCATGGACATTTTTCAAGCAGTAGGTACAATACTAGAACTGAGAGATTTATTGATGATGCTGAGAAGACAGCTTCATAGCAGATTGAACAGTTCTTTTGTGAGGTTGCCTAGAATGGAGTTTAGAGCACATGTGGTTGGGTTAGATTTTTTTTTTTTTTTTTTAGAAAAAGTGTTAGTACATTTGTTGAGTAATGATTAATTCTATTTTTATTACTATTGGTATCAAAGTCAGAATTGGTGCTTCACAGCACAAAATACCAGATTGTGACATGTTTAAGAATTTCAAGGTTTAATGAAGGCCCTTCTGAGACTGATGGCTGTGCATCAAAAAGCATTCATTCTAAAAGGTCCTGAAGCACAATATGTTGACAAAAGCTTTGATAGCTGGAAGCGCGCCACATTCAAATGCAAATCACACCGCACTTAATGAAGAACAGATGCATTACACATTATCTAATGAGTTACAAGGTAAGGGATTAAATGTGTGAAGCTTTAGCAACTTCAAACAGTGAATCATTCCTGCAGCTAAAGATTA